AGTTCAAGACCAGCCAGGGCTACAAAGTGAGCTCAAGGCCAGCCTGACCTACATAGAGAGACCCTGTCTCAAAACAAAAAACAAAACAAAACAAAAATTCAGATTTTGTTTAGATTGAAAGTCAAAGGATAGAAAACAATACTGTGTGACAGGAATCCAGAAAAAAAGTACAGGTAGCTATTCTATTTGTAGACAAAGTAGATTTGAAACCACGACTGACCAGAAGAGTCAAAAAAAGTCACTACATACTTGTTAAGGGAACAATCCAAGAGAAAAAGATAACAATCATAAATATATGTGCACCGAATACTGGCTCACCCAACTATATAAAACAAACACTAGTGGATATGGAAACTCAGATAAGCACATGACACCCCTGTCACAAATAAAGATAACTAGACAAAAAAAAGAAAATCAACAAAGAAGTATCAGTGCTGAAACAAACCTTTGAACAAATGGACTTAGTACACATTTAGAATGTTCTACCCCATAACATCAGAATACATGTTCTTCTCAGCAGCATATGAGACCTTCTCAAAATAGACCAGCTGACAGAACATGCTTAAGTAAATGCAAAGAAGCTGAAACTATTCCATGCATCTTATCAGATCATAGTGTAATGAAATTGGAAATCAATGGCAAAAGAAACCACAAAAACTACATAAACACATGGAAATTGAACAATACCCTCATGAACAGCCAACAGCTCATGGATAAAATTAAAAAAGAAATTAGACAGTCTCTAACATAAAACAAGAACATCATTATGACATACCAGAACTTATGGGACACAATGAAAGCAGTTCTATGAGGGAAGTTTATAGTGATGAATTCCCACGTTAGCAAATTGGAGTGAGCTCAAATAACCCAATGTTGAACCTCAAACCTCTAAAAAAAAGAACAACTCAAGCCCAAAGTTCATAAGAGGGAAGAAATTATAAAGATCAGAACAGAAATCAATGTACTTGAGACTAAGAAAACAACACAAAGAATCAACGAATCATGGAGTTGGCTCTGCTGGGTGTGGTGGCACACACCTGTAATCCCAGCACTTGGGAGGCTGAGACAGGAGGCTTGCTGTGAGTTTGAGGCCAGCCTGAGCTACAAGGCCATCCTGAACTGCACAGTTGCAAAAAGACAAAAAGACAAAAAAAAAAAAAAAAAAAGAGTTGTTTCTTTGAAAGATTAAATAAAAACAGACAAACCCTGGCCAACCTTATTCAAAAAAAGGAAAGAAAAGGTAAATCCACACAATTGGGAATGAAAAGGGTGAAATCACAATCAATTCTGCAGAAATCCAGAACATCATCAGTACATACTTTGACAGCCTGTACCCCAATATGAAAAAGTGAGAAGAAATGGACAGATTCCTAGATACATATGAATTACCAAAGCTGAATCAAGAACATATAAAAATTCTAAATAATCCAATGTCAGTCAATTTAAAAAAACTACCAACAAGGAAAGGCTCAGGCATAATGGAATTCTCTAACAACTCTAGAGAAGATCTTTTTTTTTTTTTTTTTTTGGTACCAGGAATTGAACTCGGGACCTGGCACTTGCCAGGCAGAGAAGATCTAATGCCACTACTCCTCAGACTCTTTAGTGAAATTGAAAGGGAAACAATACTCCCAAAGTTACTCCTGGAAGCAAGCATTACCCTGATAGCAAAACCACAGAAGGATCCAACCGACACAGAGAAATACAAGCCAATCTCCTTAGTAAATATAGATGCAAAAATCCTCAGTAACATACTGGCAAACAGAACGCAGCACATCAACAAAACCCTGATCACAAAGGAAATACCACAATGTACCAACAACTGGGATCTCATCTTATTAGAAACCAACAACAGAGTGAAGAGATAACCCAGTGTGGGAAAAAAAATTTTGCCAGCTGTTCCTCAGACAAAAGACTAATATCTAGAATATAAAACTTTATGGGTTGTTTTTTTTTTGTACCAGGAATCGAACTCATGCCCTTAGGCTTACCAGGCAAGCGCTTATGCCACTGAACTATATCCCCGGCCCTCTAGAATATAAAGGAACTCAAAAAAATCAGACCCCCTAAACTTAAAGACCCAGTGTAGAAATGGGCATCTCAAATGAATACACACTTCTTAAATGAAGAAGTACAAACAGCAAATACATATATGAAAAAATGCTCTGTATCACTTGTCATTCAAGAAATGCAAATTCAAACAATGCTGAGATTCCACCTCACCCCAGAAAGAGTGGCTGCCATCAAGAAATCAACAACAAATGCTGGAGGGGCTGTGGGGAAAAATAAATCCTTTTCTACCATCAGTGGGAGTGTACACAGTGGTACAACACTGTGGAAATTAGTGTAGAGATTCCTAAAAAAACTAGGACCAGAGGTCCCATTTGACCGAGCTATTCTTTTTTTTTTAAATTCTTCATCTTGATGTCTCCCCAGAAGAGTTAAAATCATCATACCACGGTGATATATGCACACCCATGTTTACGGTAGCACAATCTGTAGCAGCTAAGTCTTAGAAAGAGCCGATATGCCCATCAATGGATGAATGGTATTTATGTACAGCGGAGTACCACTGTACCATGAAGGTTAAACCTGATGATTTGTAGGAAAATGAACACACCCTGAGGCCATCATCTTAGGTAAAATAAATCAGACTCACAAATTTAACATCACATTGATTCTCCTGGGTGAGGAGACCCTGCGGTAAACAAGGAACGCAGTGGACGACAGCGAGTACAAGTAGGAAGAGCACGTTCAAAGCGGAAGGAGAACACGGGAGGGCAGGGAGGCAGAAGTGAAAAGAAGAGACTGGAAGGAGAAACTGGAAGCAAATCCTTTGTAGATGGGGGAGGAGAGAGTGAGGGGAGAAAAAGGGAACAGGAAAGAGGCACAGACAATATGTACAGGTGCAAACCCCCTGTGCGAAATGTGATCGTTACGGATGGCAAATATGTACTCATAAAAATTTTAAAAATAAATGAATAGCAGTAGTCTATGGGTAAGTTTTGAGCTACGACATCTTATCATTTCAGTACAAGTAAACTCCCATTCTCAAATGTACAGAAATAAAGCTGGGAGTGGTGGTACATGCCTGTAATCCCAGCACTCGGGAGGCTGAGGAAGGAGGATTGTTGCGAGTTCAAGACCAGCCTGGGCTACAAAGTGAGCTCAAGGCCAGCCTGAACTGCGTAGGAAAACCCTGTCTCAAAAAGCCAAGAAAAAAAAAGGGACAGAAATAGATTTTAAAACCCCAAGGATCTGTGTCCAGGACTGACTGGGGCGCATGCTGAGGAATCCGGGACGCGCAGCCGCCTGGCCTCGGTTCTTCCGTCTGTGAGGTGGTGAACGCCTCCACAGGGGATTTCTGGGGTCTCTTAGAACGCACGTTTATGGATCCCACAAACCCCACGGGCACGGCCATCTCCCAGCTACCTTGGGGTGGCGGCAGGCGTGGATCTGGGTGCTGCGCTCCGTGGTGAGGTGCTGCAGGATGTCGGGCATGTTTCTGAACATGTCCAGCTTGTCCACGTGAACCTGCAGAGAACGACGGGCGCGCCGTCACCGAGGCGTTTCCAGGTGCGACCTGCCCAGGGAGGCGCGGGACGAGGACGGGGCGGTCGGCCGGCAGCGAGCTAAGAGAGGACCCGCTGGCCCGCGGACTTCCTCCCGCCTCGCCGAGGCCGCGGCTGTCCCCCACTCACCCGGAGCGCGTGGTCTGCGTGTCCGCCGGGCTTTATGCTAAACCCTGACCTCGTGAGTCCTCCCTGCTCTCAGAGACGCGGCGCAGAGGGGCCGCAGGGAAGAAGGCGCACTCGGGAGCAGGCCCGGGGCCCACCACTACCCCTTCCCCAGGCTAAGGAGACCTGACACTTCGCACACTGGCCACTCCTAGGCTACAAGGCTGAGGCACTGTAAAGCATTAAACCCACCGGTCAGGTTTACTTGGACTTATCTGCCAAGTACTTCAGAGCAAAAGAAAAGCAGCTACATTCATACGGGGACTAAGATATGATAAAAGGAAGCCTTCTCATTTTGATGTCTGAGTAACAGGTTCGAATAATGTCAAATTGCTGCGCTAATTGTTTTTTTCTCTTGTTTTGTTTTGAGACAGGGTCTCCCCATGTAGTTCCAGGTGGCCTTGAGTTTACTGTGCAGCCCAGGCTGGCCTCACACTTGTGGCGATCCTCCTGCCTCAGCCTCCTGAGTGCTGGGATTACAGGTGTGTGCCACTATGCCCCACTGCTGTGCGACTGTTAACCAAGATGGGTATTTTAAAAGCAAACACAAGGACAGCTGCTTCCTTAAGCTGTGCTCCATGTTGCTGGCTGCTTGCTTACTACTGACCGGTGAGAAGCAACGGTGAGATTCACTGTGTGGGACCCTCAGGAAGAGACAAAGGGGCAACCTCTGAGATGTCCACACAGTGGTCTAGAGACTTATTTTCACCAAAAAGTGAGGACTGGAAAAGTTGCCACCAATAATTACTTACGTCCCTTGGTCAAAAACCTCACTCCTTTTTTAAATGCCTGATCTAGAACTGTCCCCGCAAAGGGATTCACAGGCTTAAGAGAAGACTTCCCTCCCTGCCCCCGCCCGGGCAGGCTGCCCCGTAAGGTCCTGGGGCACGGCGCCAGCATGTTCCGCTCCGCACGCCCCGAAAGGCAGCACCAGCTTGGGACCAACAAGTAACTGCTACCTCTGCGCTCGCCAAGGCAGGCGGAAGGGCAAAACCAGACGGCGTATCATGTGTGCGGACACGATCCACCACCACTGTGATTTTAATTTAAACGGCAACTTTAACCTCGAAAACAGAGGAAAGGCAATCTCCGAATAAGGACCAGGCCTTGCAGACAACTTGATACTCGCACACTTGGACAGAAGGACGCAGACAAGGAGGCCGAGGAAAGCGGGCCTAGGAAACAGACACAGAGCAGAGGGGACGGAAAACAGAGGAGGAGCTTCTGAAACTGCAGGAAAACTAACTCCTCTCAGCTGCACTGCAATACCTTATCTGCAGCGTAGTTCTTGGCATAAGCTTGTTGGCTGGGGGTCTAACTGGCACAAAACTAAACAGAATTTAAACATCAGCCTGTCCCAGTACTTCACTTGGTTCAGTGTCACTATCAAAACTTCACCTTCTCAGCAGTGCACGGTGGGTTTTATCTGTAATAGAAACAGTCTGGGAAGCTGAGGCAGGAAGACTGCACGTTCGAGGCCAGGCTGGGCAACTTAGTGACTTTGAGAGAGACTGTCTCCAATTGAAAATTTAAAAGGGGCTGGGGAAGTAGCTCAGTGCAAAGGCCCGGGATTCACCGCCCAGTGCCACAAAACAAACAAACAAAACTCCACCTTCTCCATAAAATGTTACGGGCACATACACAAATGCCGCAACGAAACCCCACCATTTACAAAATAAATATGAACTGATAAAAATTCTTATTTTCAAGACCAAAAAAAAAACCCTAAAAGGAGAGATGACAAAAAAGCAGGCAGGAACGCGAACGGAGAGGAGGGGTGCAGGGCTGCAGCGGGGCCAGCACACTCGCTGGGCCGCAGGGTGGGCGGCGGGAGGGCCGGGGCGGGTGGGCGGCACGGTACCTGCACCCCCAGCTCCTCGCTCAGGTTGGTGAATAAGTACTCGTAGCCGTAAGCGGCTTTGCAGTTCAGCCACACCACGTGATACGGACTCCGCGTGATCCAGCTCTGGACCAGCTCCAAAATGCCGCTGAGACACTCCCCCTAGGAGGGAGTTTTAAAAGACACTTAGCACTTGAAGAGCCTCCCTCACCCTCTTTCTCCCCAACCTCCGCAGGTTTCCAACCAGGGGTGACAGCAATGACCAAGGCGTGGCCTGCACACCTCTAGCCAGGCACCAGCCACCCCCAAGGTCACCCGCTTCCCCGGCAGACCTACCCGACTGGGAATCTGGTAAAATCTTGGGTCGCAGAAAGTAGTATCTAAATACACGCTCTGGATGTCTCTCACTCTGAAAGGAAAGGTTGGGGTGAGGCATCTCGAGTCCCGTGGAACGTGAGCTCGCTTCTCTATGGGGTGATCTGCTCCACATCTGCTCCACTGGGGTGTTTCTGTCCGCTTCGTTCCTCAGCTCTCTTGAGAAATGATTTCCCCACCGTGGAGGTTACACAGAATGACCCAGTGACTCTGGACCCACACACAGAACTTCCCGTTACCCTACCTGGGGGAGAGAACAGTTTATTAGAATTGTTGTAATCAAGTTGATTTCTATTAGAAACAAAGGCTTGCATTCGGTGGGAAAAGAGCACCACCACCTTTTTTTTAGTACTAGGGAGTGAGCCCAGGACCTCCACACTGACACAGATCCCCCACCCTTTTCCCATTTTTTATTTTGAGACAATCTCTGGCCAATTCACTAAGCTGTCCAACCTGAGCTCAGCCTCATTATCCTCCTGCCTCAGCCTCCCAGAGCAGTGGGATCGCAGGTGTGTGCCCCCACGCCCGGCTCCAGTAACACTTCGTAAACCAAGTGGCCCGCTTTATATAATCCCGGAACCGCCTGAGGCCCAGTACCTGCCCCCGGAGTGCAGAAGCTCCATCCTGGCAGCTTCTCCTTTGGCCAGTCTGAAGTCTCCTGTGTATAAGACAGTTCCATTATCACCCTGAAATAAAAACCTGCAAAGAAAATAAACCCCAGTGACTTCCAAGTCTCGTGCAAGCCCTCGGGGGCAAACGCTCGCTAAAGGCACAGCAAGCGCATCCTGCCCCACACTCCCCTTACACAACGTTAGCGGAACGCACCAGCTCTAAGGCATCCCCAGCGCTGAACTGCCGCCTTCTCCCCGGGGTGGAAGGAAATGACAGAGAGCTGCCGTGGGGAGTTTGCTATGTGTGTCCTATAATACACGAGCCCTGGGAGTCATATATTGAGCTCATTTCTGCTTATGGAGACAGAAATCCATGTGACCAGACAGCGCGAAGTCAGGAGGAATCGGCCACTGAAGCCTTCTGCTACGAGAATCCTATCCTCAACTCAGGCCCCCGTGCTCAACTTAGAAACAAAAATGAACGACAGTGCCAAGAAGTGTCAACTCTCCCCACACCTATTATTTTCCAGCCCCTAAAAATGTGTTTCTACAAATATAATGCACATTTACATATAATAAGACAGCAAAATAGAGGAGCCCCCTTACATAACTGATCCTGGGCAGTGACCAGCTGGTAAGAGAGTCACAACAATCTCTTCCTTCTAAAAAGAAAATAAAGAAACAACAGTGACGGAAGTTATCATGGGACTGTGTCTTCTCTCCCCATTTCCTTCCTCTCCAAGTGCTGGACACAAGTGGACCCCTGTCCTCCCTACAACCATGTGGCCACGGGCCTCCCCAGTGCCACCACGAGAGCTGAAAACACGTTCACACCGAACTCTGCACACGAACGTTCCTAACACTGCTCACACCAGCCCCAAAGGGGAAACACTCTGAACGTCCAGCCACAGAGGGCGGATAAACACGCTGTCAACACGGCGGGAAAGGGCCACCGGAGTGACCGAGCCACGCTAGACACAGCACGACGGCCCCCGGGGCACCATGGCCCTGGAGAACGTGCGCTCAGCGGAAGGGCAGGACGCCAGGGCCCGGCTGCACAATCCACTGAAATGGAGGGTGCGAAACACGCCAGGCACTCGGTGATGAGTGGGAGCTGGCACAGGGGCTGCGGGCGGCCCCACTGGGTTCTCTGGTGGCAGAGACATTCCGGCGCGGCTGTGGAGGAGGACACGCACCCCAGCGAGTACATTACGAGCCACTGACTTCTGTTTCAACTGGCTGTGAGCACCTCGCTGTTATTACAAAAATTAAAAGGCCTATGTGTAGCTGCGGCCCAATTCACCACCCTGCACATCGCAGCTCCCTTCAGGGCAGAGCCCGCCGGGCACGGATGCTCTCCAGCCGTCAGCGGTAGAGCTGGGGACCCTCGCTGCTCACACACGCACCCCCCACCTGAGTATGACGCTGTTCTTCCTGTCTTCTTTTGCAGTGCTAAGGACGGAACCCAGAGCCTGTGCGCGCTACGCAGGTGCTCTGCCACCAGGCCAGCGCTATTCGCTCCGAAGGCTCCTTTCAGACCGTTTCCCTCCCCGTGGCCAGGGCTGGACAAAAAAATGCACAGAAGCAGGGCGCGCACAAAACCGAGGACAGGGAGGGGCCTCAAGGCTCTGCCACCAGGAGCCGCCCGCTGCCCACCGCCGGCTCTGAGGCAGCCCCGCCCAGGGCACCTGCACTTTGAGGCCGTGCGCCCAGGAAGGCGCTCCGGGATGGTCCTCAGAGAGGCTCGGGCCGCCTGCACCCTTTTCCCTCTGTCATTTCCCCTAAGGATGCAAATGGGATGAGAGGAATGATTCAACTGTCTGGTCTTCCAAGGAGAGATAATCTGAAAAAGTCACCTCTGCGCTGATCATGTTTACAGGACCCAAGACATCTTGAGAGTTAACCGCATCTAAGCAACATGCCACAGCCAGATTACAGAACAAACATGACCAGACTTGTCAAAAAACAGGGCAAGGGCCAGGGATACAGCTCAGCGGCACAAGCGCCTGCCTGGCAAGTGCAAGGTCCTGAGTTCAATTCCTGGTACCAAAAAAACGAAACAAAACAAAAATACAGGGCAAATTTCTTCTCATCTTGGCTGTCCCCTATGGGTTTTTTGTTTTCATTCTTTGGTTTTTTTGACACAGAGTTTTGCTATGTATTCCATGCTGACCTTGAACTCACAGCAATTTTCCTGCCTCAGCCTCTGAGTGCTGAGATTATAGGAGTAAGCCACTGTTCCCTGTTTTGTTTTGCTTTCTGTCTTAAAAAGGTCAATTTACAGTCCTATTTACTATTAAAACAATATATCCACCAAGCACTATTTCTAAATTTAAGGATGAAAAATAAATTTCGTGTACTGCAGTAGTGACTTTTTTTATATTTAAGAAAATTCAGAAAAAAATTCTAAAATGGCTTCAAAAACATTAAGCACCAGCCAGATGGGGTGGCACATGCTTGTAATCCCAGCATTTGGGAGGCTGAGGCAAGAGGATCACTGTGAGATGAGGCCAGCCTGGGCTACATCTACTTAACAAGACCATCTCTAAAAAAGAAAACACAGAGGCTGAGGCCAGAGGATCACGTCCAGTTCAAGGTCAGCCTGAGCTACGAAGCAAAACTCTGTCTCAACCAAAAACAAAACCAAACCCAAAAAGTACCATTTTACATCCTCGGCATTGTAGTAATGAAACATGAGGATGGTATCATGTGCTATTATCAATAACGGGCATTTCCTTCGTGAGCATGCAATAATAAAAAGGAGCAATTCTGACAAAGTAGGCCATCCCACTCGCTTCAGGATGGGAAATAGATACATTGCAGCTATGCACCGAATGTGCTCCCTTTTCAGCGGAAACCCCCGCCCCCGGGAAGCCACTGGGGGTGGGTGGTGCCCCCGCGGGTGCTTGGTGCCCTGTGAAGGGGCTTTTCTGCCCTTTCTACCACGGGAGGACGAGGGAAGAACAACAGCCGCCCGTGGACCAGACTGGGAGGGATCCGCCAGGGCCTGGGCCTGGCCCCGCGCATCCGGAGTGTGGGTGGCAAAGGCCTGCAGGCTCAGCCCGGCCACGGCGCTCCTGTCAGGGCCCACGCGGGCTGCCGCACCGAATCAAGTCAGTGTCTTAGGTTAAACAAGTGTCCGAGCAAGGGGAAGGACGAGAGCATTTCAGCACCCAAGAACCCGCTATCTCAGGTTTCGTTACCTCGCCCGACGCCTCGTCGATCAGAGCTATCTGGGTGGGAGTTTCGATCTCGATCGCCACCTGTTAAAACGAGAGGTCACACACGATCAGCTTTCCAAGGCTTCTCACGGCCACACCGACAGCGGCCGGCCCAAGGGGACCAGGCGCGGAAATCACAGACCCTGCGTGTAACAACTCCTGAATCCGCTTACCAAGTATTTTAAGTTTGAAAACATGATAAAGCCAAAATAACTCACTTGTTGAGGAGGATCTGGCAACCTATTAAACGCCTAACCCGTGCATCTGCCCTTCACCACAGGCTTTCCACTCCACGCACGCTTGCTCCCCTCCGTCCCATCCCGGATGTCCCGCCGCTCCCCTTCGGGACAAAACCCTGCCCTGTGTTCTGGGCTTGCTCCGCGCTAGTCTGGGTCGGTCCATGGTCGGAACACGCAGCCCTCCCCTGCTCCCCAAAGGCCGGCCTCTGTCACCAGGGCAGTGACTGCTCCGTGACAGGCATCCCCCAAGCCGCTCGTGAAGGAAGGAGAGTTCCGCACCCTTCAGTCTACCAGTGTCATAGAACTGACGGTGACAAAGTGCAGCCGTCAAAACACCCTCGCATTTCTGGAATAACACATGCTACTTGTGATGGAGTTTTTAACACTGCTCCACTCAGTGAAGCCAATTGCAGTCCTTACTTCGGATTTTCACTGTGTTCGTATATGTAACGGCTTTTTCTCCGTGTACCAACATGGTCTGTTTTGCAACCATGCTGAGCAATTTACCTTACTGTTATTTCTTTTTTGGGTTTTTTTTTTTTCCGGTACCGGGAATCAAACTCACAACCTTGTGCTTGCCGGGAAGGCGCTGTGCCACTGAGCTAAATCCCCAGCCCCTACCTTACTGTTATTTCTTACAATGACTCATACAGCATTGGGATTGTTTAGTCTCTGAACATTCGGCATAAAGCACATATCAAACCATCGGGGCTTGGGGCTTATTTGGGAGAAGAGATCTCTGATAACTGCTTTGGTTTTTGAGAGACAGGGTCTCGCTATGTAGCCCAGGCTGGCCCTGAACTCACTCCGTAGCCCAGGCTGGCCGTGAGCTTGAGGCACTGCTTCCGCGTCCACGCTGGCCGATCAGGTTCTGGTGCTCAGTCTGCCAGCCGGAGGCTGAGCACGGGGAGGTGCAGGCAGATGTCCTGCCGTATGTCCGCGGCAGAGGGATGGCAGGTTACTTCATCCCGCCAGCCGGAGCCCCCATCTCCACTCGGCCCCTGGCAGTAACCTGCAGCTGCCCTCCGCCTGGGGTCTTCTGCTCTGTTCTGGCCTCCACGTCTACCTCTCCCTTGGGCTTCCGTTTGGTGTATCATCCTCCTTTCCTGTTTGTCTGGGGGTTTCTTGTCTTGTTTTGATTTCAGGAACGAATCCACTCAATAATAGGGCTCTTCTGCGAGTCTGCGCTTCCTACGCACCGGACTTCCGTGCCATGTCCTCCCTTGTGCTACCCTGCACTGCACAGACCCCTTTTCTTCTGTCCGGTTGGAAGCCATCCGCTCTGTTTTTATTATTCTGCTTGCTGCTTCTCATCATCATCCACAAGTTACATTTACATTTCCTGGTTCAGCCCACAATCTACACAGAAAGACGCATCAATGATGCCGACGTGTATTCACACTTTAAAATCAGAATGTATCTTAGCTGGAGTCTGTGAGATTAAATGAACAGAACTAGCCGGGCGTGGTGGTGTACACCTGTAATCCCAGCACTGGGAGGCTGAGGCAGGAAGATCGCCAAGAGTTCAAGGCCAGCCAGGGCTATAAACTGAGTTCAAGGCCAGTTTGAACTGCATAGTAAGACCTTGTCTCAAAAAACAAACAAGAAAAGAACATAATTAAAGACCTAGATCAAACTTCTGAGAAACAAGAAAAACTAATTAACAACAAACAAACACAGACCTCTCCTACATGGCTGAACGGTGGAGGACTAAATGTCGCTATTCTAGACGACGCCGTGAGTGACTGATGTGTGAGGCTGGCCCGGGAAAACTTCGGTGCTTCTTTCTATCTTCTTCTAAAAATACTTCCTACCTATACAAGAATTAGTGTTATGCAAAAAATAAAACTTACAATTCGTTTCTCCCAGAATCTGTATTTCGGGCTGGTTAATAACAGCTCCTTAGTCACAGGAGAACAGTACAGGTGGACCGTCAAGCTGAAAGGAAAAGACAAAAAACAAGTTTCGGGCTGGGGATTTAGCTCAGCGGCACAGCACCTGCCTGGTAAGTGCGAGGTCGTGAGTTCGACTCCTGGTACGGGGGTGGGGGGGGAACAGTTTCAGTGGAACTCAGGACGAACTCTGGCGGTGACAGAGAAATGCATTTCACCAACAGTTTTCCCAATAACTTAGAAAGTGCTGGCACAAAATGTGTGAGAGCCACTCCCAGACTGATCCCACCTTTTCAGTCCCCTCCAGACTGTAAGGGGTGTTGCTGTGTCTTCAGACCTCTAGGAAATCCCTCAGCCATTCTTAAAAACATGCTCTATGGGCTCTGCGCGCGCGCGCGCGCGCGCGCGCACACACACACACACACACACACACACACACACACGAGGACCAAGTATACACGGCCAGGTAAATCTGGACAGAGACCACCAAGCGTTAAGCTACTAATGAACAGAAAAAGGAATGCTGGAAACAGAAACTTCTGCTTTACACTTTCTATGACTCCACTGTATTTCTCTTTATTTATTTCTGGCAGTATTAGGGATTGAACTCACGCCCTTGCGCAGGCTAAGAAAGTGCTCTACCACTGAGCTTCATCCCCACCTCCTTTAGTGAATGAAAATTAATTTCATAATAAATATAAAATTCAATAGCACATTTTAGAGGTTAGGAATACAGTCTGTGGCAGATGATTCTTTCCAGAGCTGGCCACACTGCCATACACTCCAGCTGTCCAGTCTTCAGAAATAGCATCCCAGTTCTGTCATGGACAGGCAGGACCCCGCTCCTCACCTGGACCTGGCAGATCTTAGTAGCAGCCTGCGTCACAGAATGAACGCAGGGCGAGAAACCCCAGGACTTTCTGGGCCCGCCCTCCAGCCAGCACGCCCCCCGTGGCCCTCTTGGGACTTACACTTGTTAACCCAGAGGCACTTAACTATCACATGGTTTCTTATGTGAGAAACTCAAAATATAGAAAAAGGCAAAGAAAAAGAAAAAGGTAATAGGAAGTAGGGATATAGATCTCTCTCAAATGGGAAGAGGATCAAGAGATGGAGGGATGATAAAAGGGGAATTAAGATGTGCTATTTCCATGTACCAAGTCTATACAAGGAATATAAACATTATATACTGCAAACACAGAGTGATAAATACAAAAGATGAGGCAGGAGGATTATTGTGAGTTCAAGTCCAGCCTGGGCGACAAAGTGAGCTCAAGGCCAGCCTGAACTTCATAGGGAGACCTTGTCTCAAAAAGACAAAAAGAAAAAAGAAGAAGAAGAAGACGTCCGCTACCTCAAACCACTGACCCTGAGACTTTCCAGACAGAGCCAAGCTCAGAGAGCACAGCTGTCCTAGCCCAGGTAGGTGCTGGGTACCAACGGACTCTTCAGATCATTTCAGCCTCCTCTGCCACCAGGCAGGCAGGAACCAGCTGCCCGTCACAATCCCCTCCTCACAGGAACTGAGGGATCACACGTGATTAGTACTGTTTCCTTTTAAGGTGCTTTCTTTGGAACCATTCGTTATGCAGCAAAAGACAGCTGATACACAGCTCCAAAATCAGACAGGCCTGGCTGAAACCCTGGCCCTGCCACTTACAGGCTGCATGACACTGGGCAAGTCATTAACCTCTCCGGCCCCTCGGTTTCCTCGTCCAGAAAACAGAAGTAACAGGATCCACTCCACGGTTATTAAGAGGCTCTAATGAGAATGTCAGGTCTTCAACCGCCAGCGCCCACTCGGCCGTCACAGGCACTCAGAAAACAGCCTGCACTAAGAAATTCGCAGTGCCTTGGAGATGTAAGTACTCAGTGAATGCTGGTTATCATTACCTGCTATTACATAATTAGCCAAGACACCCAGTCGCTCTGGTTCAAAAGCCACAAGGGCCCTTTCCAAATGAATATTCAGAGAATTCGGAATTTAGATTTAGGCAGTGGCTGAAGAAAAAGAACCTCATAATTGAGTTTTAAGAAAAGATGCAGGCTGGGCATGGTGGCGCATGCCTGTAATTCCAGCACTGGGGAGGCTGAGGCAGGAGAATCACCATGAGTTGAAGGCCAGCCTCAACCACATAGTGAGTTCAAGGCCAGCCTGAACTACACAGCAAGACCCTGTCTCAAAAAAAAAAAAAAAAAAAGATGCAAAGGTACCAAGGTACCACGGGTTCTTGATAATGGGACCGCTAATCACACACACGCTCTGACAGGATGAGAACACACCAGTTATTGCTGCAGCCAAAATCACAGACAAATCCCACAAACGCGATGCTGAGTGACAGCAAATCTAAGACCCATTCGGTCTGAATCTACTCAGGTGAAGTTCAAAGTCAGCCACCTCATGACGGCCACAGTCAGAACAGGAAGACAGAGGCCTGGGGCCCTGTCCCGCCCCGCCCCATCTCTTGAGCTACCCCGCGGGGCTGGCTTCGCACACGCCCGGCCCCGGCCCTTTCCTGTGGTACGCATGTGCGGTGTTTCTGCCCCGCTTTTGTCTCTCAATTCAGATGCTCACGTCAGCACACAGACCCACACACAGGAAGGAGCAAACCAAGTTACCTGCATTCCAGCCTTCTTTTCAAAGTCGGGGCCCTTAATCCTTTCATGTGATCTAAAAACAAAGGAATCGAAAATTATAAACACATTCTCTTCCCAGAAAATTCCTCAGCACAGAGAAACTGAGGTGTCTCTCACATCTCTTAGGTTCCAGTTAGGAGAAGTACGCCAGGTTCCCGCCCAGGAGGACGGATTCACAGGGCTTCCAGCTCCTCCTGCTGTGAGCAGGGCTCTCCTGACCACGGGGCCGCACTCGCTAACAGCTACCTGGGCCTGAGCCCTCAAAAGCGATCGGCAGAGAGGCCCGGCCTGGCGGGGTCTAACCTGCTCGGGGCCGCCTCGGAGGGCACAGCCGCTGCCAGCCCACTGCCCACGCTCTTCCTCGACAGTGTGCGACCCATCCGGCCCTGCCCACCTAACTGAGTCCGTCTGGAGCTTCAGAGCCTGCTTCAGTGGGATCTGCTGGGCACCATTCACGCCGAAGCCAGGAGTATCCCTGCACCTTCTCGGCCCCTTGTGGCCGTGGAAGGGAAAGGCGGGCGGGTCACCAGCCAGACCCACTCCACAGTCCTCCGGGCGAACATGCCTGAGCAGTGATTCGAGGTCCACCAGCACACGGGGCGTGCAGGTCCACGCCGGACCCTCAGCATGCAAGGCCCGGGCAGCAGTGACCAACGCTTCCAAATGCAGCCAGTTCCAGTCGTCCCCTCACCACCACCACACACGCACACCTTCAGTTCCTCAGTGTGTCACTGGGGGTCCTCTGGGAGGCGGGGTGAGGCCCCGGGAACTGCAAGCCGGGCCTCTGCACTGAGCTCAATCCCCAGCAGCCACCCCTTCTGAAACTGTGAGAAAGGGTCTCACTAAGTCACCAAGCTGCTCCTGCTGGGCCCAAACTTCCGAACCTCCCACCTCGGCCTCTCAGAGCGCTGGGATTGCAGGTGTGTGCAAACACGCCCAGCTTCTAATTGGAGGTTTTTTTTGGGGGGGCGGTACCGGGGATTGAACTCACAACCTTGCGCTTGCCAGCAGGCGCTTATGCCACTGAGCTATATCCCCAGCCCGCTGGAAATTTTTAAACAAGGAAGAAAACAAGGCAGCCACGGTACCTCCCCTGGTACCCCCTGACCAGACACACCCCTTCTCCGCCCCAAGACAGGTCCCTGCTCTCAGGTCATCCCCAGCCAGGCTGGAGGGCCGATGGGCATGTCTCAGAGCAGGGCTCTCCCTTGTAGGGATTCTAAAGAGTTTTCACTGGGGCAAAAGGAGGCTGCGTCGGGACTCTGCTCATGCCCCAGGCTACCTCAGCAGTGCCCGTGCCTGCCCCGCCTGAACCCTGCCCTATGCCCTGAGCCCCTTCCTAGCTGGTGGTCAGGAGAACGGGGCCAAGTTGATCCCGCTGCACCCGGGCTTGTTTTCCAAGGGATTTTCCTTTGAACTGGGAGAAATCATCTTCCGCTCTCCCCTTAAATGTCGTCACAAGCCCCGTCTCCAGCCCTCTCCCCTTCCCTCACTGATGTTCCCCACCACTCGCCCACCCAAGTGCACCTTGGGCCCAGGCGGCCCGCAGCCCGCGGCCCACTGCCAGGTGATATCTATGATATCTATGGATGCTGACGTGTTCACATGCCTTCCTCTCCGGCAGAAGAGTCCCGCGAGAGTCAGACACTCTGCACTAGTCAGCCCAGGCTGCCCAACAAAACCCCACCAGCTGGATGACTGCAAACACGGAAATTCTCTCTCACAGCTCAGGGAGCCGGGAAGCCCAAGATCAAGCTGCAGGCAAGACCTCTTCTCCGGCAGCTGCTCTCCCAGGACACGGGTGGTGAGCAGAGGCCTTTCTCTCATGACTCCTTAGCCTTAATCACCGAAAGGCCCACCTCCAAGTACAGTCACTTGGGGACTAGGGTCAAAGAACTCTTACATCCCGAAAAAGCACAAACCCACAGTGAGCAGTGCGAGAGGCCTCCAAATGCAGAAGGTGGGCTCTTGCCCCGGCTGAATAAACATGGGATCATAAAGCAGGGAAATTCTTACGCAGTGCTCCGCAGTAGGAAGAGTCAATTCCTCATTTACTGTTCATACAATGACCTCACAGATTCCTTTAGATGAATTACGTCTCCAGACTCACTAATCCTACAGGTGAAGGGCAAGCTCCTACACTGTACTATCCTTGCTATGCGGCAGGAGGATCGCTGTAAGTTAAGGCCCATCTGGGCTACAAAGTGAGTTCAAAGCCAGCCTGAACAGCACAGTGAAACCCGGTCTCAAAAAGTCAAATAAATAAATAAGTAAATAAATTTTGTAGGAGGCTGTGATTCACTAAGCGACAATAAACCAAAGCAGTATGAAGTTTAGTGACCGTAAACCGGGCCTGGTGCAGGCCTATAATCCCAGCACTTGGGAGGCTGAGGCAGGCAGGCTGCTGTGAGTTCACGGCCAGCCTGCATTACATATAGCAAGACCCTGTTTCATCACAGTAGCTGAGCTTTGTTGGCGGCAGAAGACCCTGTACTCAGCCAATCAGGCTGAAATCCACCGACTGGGTGACTGAGCAAGCAGTAACCAGGTAAGCTGTGTTCTATGTGTCACTTCTGCTTTTCCATAAAGACTGTCAGATCACACTGTTACTCGGAGTCCTCAGACCCTGCTCTGCTTCTAGAAGGTGCCAGTTTACAAACTGTATTTTGCTTCTCTTCACTAAAATTCTATTAAGTTTAATTTGTCTAAGGAATGTTCCTTTTTATTTTTGGGGGGGCGGGTAGATGTTGCTCTTTTGAGACAGGGTCTCTATATGTAGTGCAGGCTGGTCTTGAACTTGATTATGGAGCCCAGGCTGGCCTCAAACTCACAGGATCCTCCTGCCTCGGCCTCCTGAGTGCTAGGATTACAGGTGGGTGCAGGAGTGTTCCTTTTAATACCTATTACATTGTGAGTGCACACACTCACCACAGAAGTAAAAACAGGGGCGCAGCCCTCATGCAGAAGTGGCTTCCCAATAAAAACAAAACCAAACCAAAAATGTTATTTTCAAGAATAAACAAGATGGTGGAGTGGCAAGCAGCAGAAAGAGCCTCTGGGAGAACTGCCGACCAGATGCTGGGCTATAGCAACAAGAGGAAGAGAAGTGGGGAAGTGGGTCTGCTGGACCCAGGAAGGATCTGAAGAGTGGACTGAAGCCCACGGAGAGAGGCAAGAGAGACACTTCAGAGAAGAAGAAGGAGGTGGCCAGCGGCGCCTTCTCCCTGGACGGGACGCACTGCCTGAGAGGAGCGATTCACACCTGCAGACACACGGTGACTGCTGGCGACCCCAGAGGCCTCCATGGAGAGATGCAGGGGTGGAGCAGGGCAGCACATGCGAAGGACTGCACTAGCTGGTGAGTGCTGAGGGCTCAGTCATCCCACACAAGAGAGCGACTGGCCGGCAGCTATCCTGGCTCAGAACACAGAGCGGCTGCTGTCTCCACCTACGGCTCCTGGCTGGCTCAGGCCCATGAAAGGTGCACTGAGGGCTGCTGCCAAACGCGTCTCCTCCGGGCCGGAAGGTGCAGGCCGCTGAGATTGCCCACCACCCCGCGGAAAGCCACCGCCGGCTTGCCGGGATAGAGCGACATGGTCAGGACTCCGCCTCCACATGCGGTCTACCACTGACAGCACAGACAAGCCTGGAAGTTCACGTTCTTTTCTCTCTCTCATATTTTTGTGTGTGGGTTTTTTCTTTTGTTTTTGTTTGTTTTTTCTCCTTCACTGCCTGATTTTTTTTTTTTTTTATATGAGTGTAAACGTGGCTTCTAGCCTCTTAGTGGTTGTGGTTCTGTTCTGTTCCTCTTTTTATCTCTCCCTTCTCCCTTTCCCTCCAGTCTTCTGTACCAGTTTCCCAAAGTTAGGGTGATT